CCGGATTGGAATGATGCAATTTCATTATTGGCAGTCACTCATCACCCTAGCAAAGAGGACCATCGACTATGCCCCGCATGTCTGATGGAGACCCCTGCGCCATTATCGATTTGTGTGATGTGCAAAGGATTTTTGGTGAGTCATGGATGGAGGAAACGAATCAAGATCACCGTGGCTACAGTACCAAAGGCCGAATCACATCATCGAGAAGAAGATCTCAAAGACCATGTCAAGAAAGCATGGGAGGAGGTGAAGATCGATTTGACAGGTGATGATGATGACGACGAGGTGATGCCAGATGATGATGATGTCACCATGAAGAGTCCAGAACAAGAAACTCAACCAGAAGAAGGAGATGATGATCAAGCCTCGAAGAAGGGCGACATCAATGATGAGAAAAGAGACTTCAGAGAACAAGATGAGGTCGACAAATTTCTCAATCAAGAAGGAAAACCGACCGATGAGAACGATGATGAAGAGACAGCGGTCGATGAAATTAACATTGAAGAGTACGAGGCTGGAGAAGCTCGTGATGCAGTGATTGAGTACCCCAAGTGGATGCAGCGGATTGAGTTTGGATCAAAGGTCCTGCCGATCGAACCTTGCACAATTGGAGATGCTCAGCCAGAATTCATCAAGATCCTCCTGTTGCAGATTGGATTACATATCGTCAGGATCTACAGACTATTCCAACGGAACTTCTGTGGAGACATCGAGACGGCATGGAAACATTTTCAACAGAACCAGAAATTCAGGATGGACCTGGACTCAAGAACACCTTACCTGGGCGAGGATGAAAATGGTGAACTCATTGAACCAACTGCACAACAGATGAAAGAGCTCTACAAAGAGATCGGCCGACCAAATCAAAAGGACGACATCGGAGAAGAGGGATTCGTCAATGCATACTATGGGGCAGTGGTACTCAAAAGACTTCTCATATATACCCTTGAATGTGGCTACACGTATGATGACTTGCAAAACATATTCTTTGATGAGGAGATGGAGAAGCTGTCGAAACGTGACACCACAATGGATGAGATGAGAAAGACCACAGCGGCCCGCGACGCCCTTGACCGACAAGACGTCATGGTCAGAAGAATCATTGCAGGTGCATATAGGGTAAATGCTGTTTATTTCTTCAGGAACGTTGACTTTCAAGACACAATCACACTGAATCCAGTTGACATTGTGTGTGCTCTTCGTCCACCACTTCGAAGAATATCACTTTTACACCTGATCCTTCAGAATGGCCGACAATTGCCGCGACCTCTACTCCAAAAGCTATATGATGCGATCGATGACTACAATCACATCAAGCAACGGGAAGATCAACGACCAAGGTGGGGCATCCACTTGTCTGAAGCTCACATACTTGCGATTGCTGATACCCCGACTCCTGCTGATCGTGAACGTGCCAATCCAGCCGCTGGCAAATCGAAAGCAGCCCCGAAAGCTGCACCAGCACTGGGAAGAGTGTCGAAAGCGAAAGCATCATCGTCAGCGACATGGAGAACAGTTGAAACCGCTCCTCCGCCAAAACAAGCTCCAGTGACCCCGCCAAAGAAGGGTGGAAAAGACCAAGGAAAAGGTGGAAAATCTTATTCACACCGTGGCGGAGACTGGAACCAACAGGGATACTATGGATGGGGATATAGATGATTAAGCGATCTGACCTCTGCATAGGTCCTGATTGAACCTGGCGATGCGAGGATGCAATCATTGCTCGAGATTTACCTCTACTTCATTTTGAATGATTTCTGAGAGGACTCTGAGCCGGCTAATTTAGAACCACACATTTTTTTTGAACATCATTGCATGAAACGCTGAGTTTCTACAGCGGTCTACGTCTCAACCGACGAAGGGACGGGAAGGTAAACTTCTAGTTCCATAGTCAACTTTGTGTTTTGATTTCTTTAATTCACATGCTTGAGAGAGACTCCATGCTGGCTACGCCACATTGGATGAACCTCAATGCTAGACACCGACTACGTCGTGTCTACATGCACGTGAACAGAACCTTCATTTTTTGGTAGAGATCGTAGCAAGCCGCCATGTAGATATGAAGTTCTGAACGGACTTTAGCTCCCCATAATTCAATAAATGAACAGCTGCGAGTGTAGTGGATCAATTCAAAGAACACTCCTTTGCGCGTAGCCAACAAAGTTGGCTATGCGTGGGGGGTGCGAATAGAGTGTAGGCTACGGATCAAGTATAATATCACAACTAAACACTCTGTGATCCAGCACCAAAGGGGCAATCCGAACTGGCCTCTTTGGCTCAAGACCCACTGCAGCACTGGAGAAAAGATCAGCAATGCGGAAGCAGCTGCCCGTGTGACGTCGTCGAACTGGAACATTTATCCTCAACATCAACCATTGGAACATAATCGGGTAGGCAATCCCCGATTCGCAGATAGATAGATAGATAGATAGATAAGATAAGATAAGATAAGATAATAAAAAATAAGATAAAATTGGATTAGATAAGATAAGAAAAAATAAGATAATATTGGATTAGATTAGATAGATAGATATGATATGTTTGATATATATATATATATATATGTGTTTTTAAATGATATGTATATATATATATATATATATACATTTATATTTATATGATACACGCACACACACACACATCCCAACAGCGATGTGGCTTTGTCTCAGTACACAACCGATGAATTTTTTATGGTCGATCACCACGTTTGAACCGCTGACTATGTCGAAAAACGATCGTACCAAAGAGTGGATAAGGCAAACACATTTTTGGATAGGAAGACCATGAGAAAGTCCTTTGCTTTATTTATGGAAACCTTATCCGATAAGGGTTACACATGTAAAACCAGGGTTTTTCCCAGTTGTTTGCTATCCAAGAAAGGATTTGGGTGTGTCCCGACTCCTGGAAGGATATGGTCCATTGATTTCCACTCATTATGTCATACTCTCCATGCCATGTCGCAATATTTGCCTACAAGTTACAACTCATAACTCGACGATTTCAAGTTACAAGTTGTTAGCATTTGTTAGCTATAATTTCTCTAGTCTTAGGGAACGTTAGGGAATATGGATTCCCAGAGGTAACTGGAGGGTTAGGGAACTTAGATATATACGCCATTATACGCCATAAACCTCATAAATCTGGGTGAATTGTAATGACCTCACTGCGACCTCACTGCGATGATGGTTAGTAAGAAGAACTGTCGAACTTTTCAGGTTGGAGAAATAGTACGACTATTAATATAATTTACCCAGTTGATTGACTTCTCAAGACCTTCGGGGCTTACCGTCATTGTGGCTGGTTGAATAAATTATATAATGAGTCTTACCTCCGGGAATCTGCATTCTTCATTGAAACATATAAGTTCCCAGAGTTAAAATTCGTTGATAAATGATTCCAACCTTCACAACGCTTCCATCATGACATCACCATTGACCCAGGCAGCAGAAGGCAACCACAAGATGTGCAATGACAGGCGTCGATGAGCGTACGGGGATTTTGTTGTGGATTTCTGGTGGATTCCGCCGGCTTTGTTGGAGGGATTTCAGATGATTTCAGCAGCAGTGGGGCTATTAGATGTATCGATGGGGACTGGGCATATGGTCAGTGTCAGTATGACCTTTTCCTTTTAACCAAGAAACAAGATGGGATAGAAGCCAGCAGTTTTATGGGGATAAAGCTGGTCATACGTAGAAGGTGGGCCCCCCTAGTTGAGTTGGTTTATAACTATGTAGGTTAATTCTGTTTTATGTTAGATAAAACATAATATAACTATAGTTGGGGCGTATAAGTCAACTTATAATTCGTGGCCCCACCTTGTTTTATATATTAAAGTTGACATGGCATATAGAACCAATATGAACCGATAGTATATAGGTGTGCCCGGATGTGGTTATTTGAATGGGATTATAATGGGACAATAACCGCTGGCAAATTGTAAAAAAACACAGATCAGGTGGATATATATATATAATGGTCATATTGAAACGGAAATGTGACTTATTACCAAAATTGAGGTGATAGTTGGGAGGAGTTGACCTCAAAATCACTGCAATTCTGAGCTCCCTATTTTTGGACCCCATGCGCAGATGGGTCGGGCAATTGACAACATGGGAGTTAATGATGGGTGTCAGTGTATTTAAAAAAACAACTGTATAATCAAGGGTTGATAGCTAGGCTTAATTAGCAACCCAAGGGGGTTGATGGGGGTGCAATCGGTTTCATGTGGAACTTTGTATCAGAAATCTGGTTGGCGGTTTCATTTTGCTTCCCATTACCCCCAACTAGAATTGGGATATAGGTATAAATGGACGGACAGTTTCAAATATTGTTTTTTCTACTATTCATCAGGGTGGGATGTATGTCATGAGTTTTTTTTTGTGATACCTCTTGGAGCATGGTTTGATTGGGGGGATGCAGAACAGATAGTTGGGACATTCAAATCAGCACAAAAGGGGATAGAACCACCTTGGATAGCAGCAGCAATGCAAAGATGGGGATGCTAACATGCAAAAAGTAGGATGCCAACCATTTTGGGGATATATGCAATTTCAATAGGGAAAAGTATATGATAAAACATATAAGACCAACGAGTACTGGGGTTGAGACCTAAGCATTGGCATAGGAAGCTGGAAAGGTGGTGGGTGACCAAGGCCAAGGCTGACAGCAATTATTTGGATCCCACGAATCGTAAGTGGTTAATAACCCCAGTTAGTCCCCCATGCGTGGATTATCCCATTTATAAATGAGCTACTTTTTGTTGAAGCTTCTGAGCAAACAGTTGGTGTTGCAGTCATACATTGTGGCAAGCATGGGAGAAGAAGTGGCCTGCTAAGGGCTTGATGTTTAAGCTTCATTTGGGCAGATAGAAAACCTACCAGTGTAATCAGACAATTCGCTCAATCGACAGCGGCCATGAGAAGGATACGCCATAGACGACCAGGAGAAATAGTTTGTATCCAGCTCGGGCAGTAGCCAGCCACTGTTTCATTTGCCAGGTATTTGTACTACTTCATCTACAGCAGGCCCCAGAGTTTTCTAGGTGAGGCTACGACCCACGCCACCGGCTTGTTGGAACGCGAGCAACTTGAGAGTCACTGGACGAGATGCGGTGATGGGTCAGATTGGTCTTCTAATGTCCTCTATGAATCAGTGCTATTGTAACCATGTATTTTTTAACATGTGTTCAAGCGCATTCAGCTCGTAGCTCTAAATATCTAGCCAATTTATGACTGTTTGGGGTCTAAATGTAGAGAAACATATGGGTGACTAGTTTCAGGGGTTCACAGTGCACACTATTGTAGTACACTCTTTGTCATTTGGGTGATTGAACGCCACGAAGATGTCAATGTTCGAGTGGGGGTGATCAGCATCTCAGATGGACAATCAAAACCCAGGAGGTATTCAAGGACCCAGATTCAGATGAACCATGTATTATGATATATAAATATAAATATATATATATATATATATATATATGTGGTGATATTTGTTTGGTCTACGGCCTACACTTACCACTGCAAGGAAATGCAACTACATCATGCCTGGATGATAACAAACTACCATCGACTTTATTGCACTTGTTGTCCCCTCACCTTTTTGCAGCATGGCTGGCATTACGTATATGAGGTGACTTGATGTCAAGCATCGTGTCGCACTCAGAGGTCAACGTGAGAACAGACCTGGATTCCTTTTTGACAGGCAAAGGAGGACATGGCAGCGATTACGCTGATTTGCCAATTGATTTTGAGGTCTAAGCAAAGTTCTCTGCAACTATCTACATGTACGAATGGTACAAATTCATCCTATTAATACTATGTTTTTCGTATATGTTTATATATGTATGTATGCATCCTGTATATATATATACATAATTACAGATAAATTGGCATGTGCATATATACGTACATGCAGGCAGGCAGACAGACAGACAGACAGAATATACATATTGGTTCTATCCTCTATATACCTACACATTACATGCATGCACAGGCATTTGTATATGCCAATTATATCCAATTATTGATATGTTGGATTTGCTTAAGCTTGGCCGTTGCGAAGGTTCTTGAGAGGAAGAAGGCGTGGGAGCGCACTGAGTGACATTAAATGATGCTGAATCATGTGAAGTGACGGAGATGTAATAGTCAACAATCATGCACTCCTCCAAATTCCATGAAAATGTCCATCACATTATGACATTTCCATAAAACAGCGTCAAACCTCTATCAAATTCCCATTCCGGAATCACACTTCAGCAGCGCCCCAGGCGGGGTTTGACCGATACTGAACTCGCCACAGGAGAAGGTGATGCCACCAACTGGGCTCAAAGATCTCGTCGCCCAGGCCATTGTTTATAATGGGAGTCCCCATATGGCGATATGGTTGAATAATGGTTGATCATTGATGGGATATTATACAAACATATGGTTGATAATAACTATATCTATAGAAATAGTATCTCATTATATATATATATATATTTATATATAAATTCCATATATATATATATCTATCTATATATATATGTGTGTGTGGTTTCTATAGATATTCGGGATTATTATACATATATAATGGGATACTATTTCTATAGAACTGGATACTGGGATACTGGCAACTATTGGGATACTATTTCTATAGAACTATTATGACTGTACATGATGTATCATTAAACTATATATCATCAACGTGGGCAAGCCAGTGCCATAAACCTATACCATTTAGGGATGCTAAACTAACCACCCATCAAACTTGCGATGACTTGGGGGTGGTTTATTTTATTTTTGGCTTTCAGACATGATACCACGATATCGGGAATCGCGGCCCAAATCGGCCTAAATCTCTGGCCTGCGAGGCCCAGAACATTTTGAATATGAAGAAGACCTTGATGCTCCTAAGCTGGATTAGCTGCTTGATGAGCTGCTCAGTGGCGGAAAATTTCGCTGTGGGTATTATTTCAACAGAAATGGACTCATTCGAATCCATTGATCAAACCATCATTTTCTGGCGACTCTCACAGGACAATACGGGTCTCGGTGTTCAACTGGGAGATCAACGCAACTTGGTGTGTTGCCGGGGCCTAGGGCTTCCAGGTATGGGCATCCCAAATGTCTAATCGTCCAATGATCCAAAAACGTGTGATTTCAAGAAATCCAAACCATTCTGTGATAATTATGATAATCATTTGGTTCTGGACAAACTATTCAATATGAAATTCTGACATGTGTGACAATTCTAAACTAACAAACTGATCATGAAACGAATCATGAAACGAACCAGAATTATCATAATAGGGATGTAATTGGAGGATCATGGGGCTGCCCCCTCGCTCCACTTGACAAATGATACAAATCGATTTGGCCATGAGTTGGGGGTTGAGCCTCTATTTTCTGAAATTGGGATGGGCTATTCTCAGGGTCAACGTATGTTGGGGGGATGGTAAATCGTGTAAATCAAACGAACTCTCTGGCTTTTTGGGGCCTAGGGCCTTGAATTTTAACCAAGAGACTGAGATGAGAGAGGTCATGGGAGGTAGACTAGTTTCCAGGACCATGGACACAGGGTATCGCTGACCCCAAAATGCCCCATAGCTGCCATAGCATCTAAAGGACGTGGTTTGTATCAGGTGTGAACGGACTGGAACCCTCCTTGCGCCGCGCAGGTCAAACTTCTGGAGTATGGTTACGAAGATGATCAAGATGTGGTACTGAACAGGCAGCTTGAGCTGTGTGGCAGGGAATCTCAATATATTATATCTCAATCATGTAGCTAAATACTCATATAATCGGAGCGTACACATTTTCATGTTATGTTTGATGTGTGCGTCCACACGTTTGTTTCGGCATCTTGGATTGAGGAGTTGCCTGTGCCAAAACGACAGGATGGAAGACCATCACTGGCGCAGTGAGAGTTTTTGGAGTGCTGCGAGCCGCAAGCAGTGGATGATATGTCAGCTCTCAAGGTCTTCCGGGAAACCAGGCTGCTTTCACCCCAAGAACCAGATTAATCATGGTTTTAATGGGATTTCAATGGTTAATATATGCTTCAACTGTGCTTTAACCGGTTTATCTTATTTTCTGTTTATCTTTTCTGATCCCATTTCCCGGGCGAAAAAGGCCCCCCCTTAAAACACCGCGTCCTTCTGTAAGGCATGTACCACGACCGCGCCCGGGATCACCGGCCCGAGCGGCCAGAGCACTTTGATGAGCTGCCGGATCAAGGCTGCTGATTGGGTGCCCGTTTCCAGGCCGTGCTGTGGAAAATCATGGAAAATGTTTCATGTAAAGTATCACGAGCGACTTTCATCCATTTTCCATAGCTCCATAGCTATCTTAGGTTACTGAGTTACTGGAGCAGCCAACAAGACATGGGGGGACTTAACTGGTTTGTCCAAGAGTTTTGGCGATGAGTACGTGCTGATGCTTTGAGCCCAATTCTTTGACAAGACCTCGGCTGTACAGCTATTAGGCTGGAGGTTTCAGATATGTGTCTTTTTACATTTTATATACCGCCATTCTCTACTGATCATGATGCATCGTGATTTGGTGGGCTGTCACCACCAACAAGTGATATATATATATATACATATATATATATATACATATATATATATATATATGTTGAAAGCAGAGCCATGAGTGCATACTCCAGCAAGGTAACAGATGCATGACCGATAGGGAACCTACGCTCAAGCGGCAAAAGGTGCCCGTGCTCTTGCCCTGGGAGGGCGAATGGTTTTGAGATTGGTAGCGGAGCCAGGCCATTAGGGCCTGGCTCCCGCAGGTAGGATCCTGTAGGGTAGAGCCATGAGTGCGTCGACACCCGGTGAGTCGACTGGAAACCATAGGATGTTCAGTGGAAACGATGAGGATGCCAAAGAGTACCGCAGGTGGAAGACTTGGGTTCTCAACAAGCTACTTACACTTGGAGAAAAAGTCTCTAAGGATGCCAGGGGTGCCTACGTATACACACTACTGCAAGGAAAGGCCTTGGAATGTGTCGAACATCTGGAGGTAGCTGATTACCAAAAAGATGATAGGGAAATGGTACTATTCAAATTGTTGGATCAGCGCTTTCCCCAGAAGGGCAATACCGATGAGATGGCTGAGACACTGAGTGCTGTTTTCTCGCTACGTGCTTCTGAGGGAGAAACACTGAAAACGTGGATCAGCCGAGCTTCTGAAATGTTCGACAGGTGCCAACGGAAATACAATGTAGCCTTTCCGGAAGAGGCTCGAGGCTGGATCATTTTACGACGATCCGGCCTCACAGAGGAACAACAGGCTGTAGTGTTGGCCAGGTCCCTGGGGGTTTTGAAACGTGAAGAAGTTAGCAAAGCTATGAGGTCATGCTATCCAGAGTACACTGTGCCGAAAAAGCGTGTTGGTGTCAGCCTTGTAGAAGATTCCGACTTGCCTGAACTGCTTGGCGATGAGCCGGAAATCATGGACCCCAGCATGGAGTTTGAAGATGTAGAACAGCTGCTGGCTCAACATGACACACATGACGATGATGCAGAACCGGAAGTGTATCCTGAAAATGAGGTAGCAGACATCATGGCCGTTTCATGGCGTGAGAAGAGAAAGGAGATCTCCAAGATGCAGCGATCACGAAAGTTTGGGGCCGCGGCTGACCTCAAACGACAGTTCAGAGTTGAGATTGAAGAAGTCAAGAAAAAGACAAGATGCCATCGTTGCGGCCGGATTGGCCACTGGAGCAGAGAATGCAAGATGCCTCGAACTGATCAGAGGGGAAACACTGCACCTTCTGGTGCATCAGGGTCTGGATCTAGTCGCAAAGACACAGGAATGGCCTATGTGGAAAACTTTGTGGCCTCCGTGATGTCACAGCCCACAGTGCTGTCACAGCTGCGACAGCGTGCGGCAGCAGCGAATAAAATGACTGATGGGGTATCTATGTCCAACCAGGTGAATGAAACTCTGTTGGTATCAAGTCCCGGATTTGGAGTTTTGGACTCTGGGTGTGGCAAATCAATTATGGGACAACAGACCTATCAATCTTTCTGTCAGTTGTGGCGCGATCGTAATATTCCGGTGCCTGAGCCGTACCAAGAGGTGAACCATTTTCGTTTTGGGAATGGAGAAAAAGAAACATCAGAATGGTCCATCAAAGCTCCTGTCGTACTAGCTGGAAGGACAGGTGTTATCAAGGTGGCTTTGGTCAAAGGTGAAGCCCCCCTTTTGGTGTCTCGCAAAGCTCTTCAAGCACTGAATGCCAAGCTGGATTTTTCCAAGAGTGAACTTACTGTGTTTGATGAAGAAGCCGTGATTCCACTTCAAGTGAACCATGCTGGCCAGTATGTAGTTCCCTTGCTTGGGGAGACCGATGTCACCGCTGAGAGCTTCGATGAAGTCATGGTTAGTGTTCCTGTGCCTCCGCTGCCTGAGCCTGATGTACCAACCATGCATGATGATGGAGAAGTTGAACAGCCAAATGACTCCGATTCTGCCACTACTTCAGGACCGGAAGCCGGCTTGTCAGAGTGGGCAATTGAGTGTTCATACATTCCCAAAGCGTTCGCTACGGGTAAGCAAGGACCCAAATGGAATAGTGTCAAACGCCGCATCATCACTGATATGGATACGGGTAAAGTGTTGTTTGATGAAATGATTGACCATAGGATTGGCAAGAATAGATATCACCAACCTTTACCTAAACATGTGCTGCACACCAGATCACAGTTTATGTTTACGCCTGAGGAGAATCACCCTGCCGTAGCTGAGTGTTTGAGTGTTCGTCATGTCCGACAGTTGCATGCACAGGTCAAGAAGACAATGTTACATGATGCTCGTAAGAAATCCTCTGAAGAACCACTAATGATTGCTGAAGTGTTTTCACCACCAAGGTTTGCTCCAGTTGTGCAATCACAGGGAATGCGAGCTGTGTCTTTTGACCTCAAAAATGGATATGATTTCACCAAATCCAGCGTGCGACAGCAAGTGAAGCAGCAGCTGCGTGAGGACCCACCAGAACTCCTAGTTCTCTGTCCGCCATGTACGCATGAGGGTGGTTGGTTCAACCTTAATCGATACACCATGTCGCCTGATGAGTTTCTTCGAAAGAAAGCACAGAGCCGACTTTTCATTCGATTTTGTTGTGAACTCTTTCAACAACAGGTTGAGCTAGGAGGGTTGGCCATGTTTGAACACCCACTGGGTTCCAAACTGTGGTCCTATCCAGAGATGTTGCGTTTGCTGCGCCAGTTCCCGACCGTTAGATGTCACATGTGTCGTTTTGGACTTCGCTTGCCTGGCAGCCAGAATTTCATCCGTAAGGGAACACGCCTGTTGGTTAGTGACTCAAGCATGGAAGTGCTGGGGCGTGAATGTCCTGGAAAGCAGAGTGTCCATCACCAGTGTCATGACATCATTGAAGGCAGTCACCCTGTTGTGGGATCAGTCAGCCAGTTTGCTGGTCAATACACACCCGGTTTTGTTGAGGCAGTGTTGGACACCGTCCCAGCATATCGTGCACGTTCAGAGACTCTGGAGGTGATTGAAGTTCCACCCACCGACCAACAGGCTGAGAACGAAGTTTTTGCTGCCCGTGCCGATCTGCAAAGCACTGATGAAGAGGTGATCAAAAAGACCTTGTTCAAATTGCACCGAAACCTCGGACACCCAGCAAATCATGACTTGGTCCGAATTCTCAAGCACGGACAAGCAAGCGATGATGCAATTAGGTTGGCCAAAGAGCTGTCATGCGAGTTCTGCCAAGCGCGCATTCGGCCACATGTGCCGCTACCAGCGCAGACGAGCCGAGTGACTCAGTTCAATGAACAGGTTGGAATAGATGTCAAGTACCTTCCTGGCTGGCGACCTAATCAGAAGATCAAGTCTCTCAACATGGTGGAACAGTCAAGCTGTTTTCAACAGGTAGTTCCTTTCTATGAGACCGAAACATCAGCACTGTTGCGCAAGCTGTATGCCACACACTGGGTTGCTTGGGCAGGTCCTCCAAAGGAACTGATACTTGATCCAGCTCAAACCAACCTTGGAGAGAATCTTCAAGGACCATTAGAGTTTGAAGGAACCACCGTGCGACAGATCGCAGCAGAGGCACATTGGCAACTTGGCCGAACTGAAAACCACGGTGGTTGGTTTGCTCGAGTTCTCTCCAAAGTAATTGATGAACATGCACCATCTAATCGTGAAGAGTGGGAAGAATGTGTACGTCATGCTCATGTTAAGAACACCATGATACAAAGCTATGGATATACCCCACATCAACATGTGTTTGGAGTTAACCCTAGCATTCCTGGTGATCTTCTGAGTGAACCTTTGCACATAGTTCCAGCGACAGCCGGCCTTACCGAAGATGCTGTAGCAAAAGCACAAGCCATTCGTCAATCAGCCCGTTCTGCAGTGATCCAGTTGCAAGATGATAAGTCACTGCGACGTGCCCTAGCAGCTAGACCTCGAATGAATCAGGTGTTTCAGCCTGGCAATCTGGTAGCGTACTGGCGTCGACAGAAGTTGCAGCAAGGCGAGGTACAACAAGGTGGACGTTGGCATGGCACTGCTGTTGTGATAGGATACGTTGGTAGGAACCTCATCCTAGCACACAGAAAGCAGATTTTCCGATGTGCACCTGAACAAGTACGACCAGCCACCACTGAAGAAAGGACTCTAATTGAGTCCCCACAAATGGAACTTTTGGGGATAAAGGATCTAATGGAAGGGGGTACTTTTAGAAGTCACCAGTTCATAGATTTAGTTCCCGGACACTATCCCACAGTTGAACCTGCAACTGCCAGTCATACACCAGATGCTTCCGGTGACAGCCCAATGCAAGAGACAGGAGAGCCAGCTCAATCTGAAGTGATTGATAAGAGTCCCGCTGATAGCATTCCGCCTCCTCAAGATGCTGTTACTGATGCGCCACAAAACATGAATGTCTCTCCTGCCATTGAAGAAAGTGGTCACACATCCGGGAGCCAGTATGGTCCAATTCGTCGTCGTGTCACTGGAAAATCTGGAGATGCAACCATGTACAGACCGCCAGCCATGCGACAAGAAGATTTCGCTGAGATCAAGCGAGAGGTTGTTCCACATCTTCTTCAGGAAAACTTCGAATCACCACACACTGGACAGAAGCGCAGCCATGTTGATGAAAGTAATGAAGAAGTTGTTGAACCGGCAGCCAGTAGACCTCGCACTAGTTCTCCAGAGCCAACATCTACTGCCGAGTCTGCTGCAGAGCACCCAGTGTCTGCCGTTGCTCTTGATAGCCCCAACATGCATGAAGAACCAGTCCATGAAGTGTTGACCGTGACCCAAATAAATAGCTTGTTGAATGATTGGGATAAACATGGGGATATAGAGGTGTTAATAGCGGGGTACCTAGCAAAGAAGATGTCCAAAGAACTGCCACCCACTGGTAACCCCCCAGCTCTTCAGGAAGCGGTTGATGACTCAAAAAGAACAGAATGGGATACCCTGAAAGAGAAAAATGCCATTCGTTTTCACTTTGGCAAAGACGCACAGCGTATCCGAGAAAAGTATCCTGATCGCTTCATCGGTAGTAGACATGTGATCACCCGCAAGCCTCTTGAAGAAAACGGTCAGGTGAACCCTGAAGATCCTAACACCTTTCGTGTTAAATCACGCTGGTGCCTGCAGGGACATCTTGACCCAGACTTAGATCAGAAAATCGAGGATGGCTTGCTGCAATCCCCAACACTCAGTCAAATGGGTAGGAATCTCCTGATGCAAATAATTGCCAGTAATCGTTGGATTTTGCAACTTGGTGACATCAAGGGCGCCTTCCTCGAGTCTGGTCCAATTGCTGAAAAGTTTCGCCCTTTGTTTGCAAAGCAGCCTATGGGCGGTGTGCCTGGCCTTCCAAGTGACGCAGTGATTGAGGTGACCGGAAATGTCTATGGGCAGAACGATGCCCCAGTCATGTGGTATCGTACCTTTGATCAAGAAGTCATCTCATTAGGCTGGAGCCGATCCAAGTTCGACTCATGCCTTTACTACTTGCGTTCAAACACAGGCGAGCTCACCGGCATTATGGGTGTGCATGTGGACGACACAGCCATTGCAGGCTGTGGTACTCTTTTTGAAGAGTCTGTGGCAAAGCTGAAAGCAAGATTTCCCTATAGGAAATGGAGAGTGTCCTCTGAATTTTGTGGTGCTTTCTATGAACAAGACAAAGACAGTTTTGCCATTTCCATGTCCATGCAAACGTTTGCCGATACTTTGAAATGTGCTCATATTCCAAAAGGAGTTCTCAATAGCCAGCCTCTCAACGAAAGCCAAATAAAGACTCTTCGAGCCATCAACGGAAGTCTGAATTGGCTTGCCTCCCAAAGCCGGCCTGACATTTCTTGTCAGACAAGCATGTCGCAGCAGGCTTTCCCAAATCCGTGCATCCGGAACCTGAGAGATGCAAACAATGCCGTCAGAAGAGCCAAGCAGCACAAGCAGTTGAAGATTGTGTTTCAAAGCATTCCCATTAAAGACTTGACGATAGTGTGTCACAGCGACGCAGCATGGGCAAATGTGGGGACACATACTCAAGCAGGATATATAATAGCCTTCACCGACAAATGTTTGCATGATGCCAAGGAAGCTCCTTGGGTTCCGGTGGTTTGGAAAAGCTACCGTCTTGCTAGAGCTGTCAGCTCAACATTGGCAGGTGAAAGCCAAGCCATGAGCGTGGCCAGCGGTACAGTAGAGTGGTTGTCCCTCATGATGAGTGAAGCAATTGATGGACCTTTCCAGCTGAGACAAGCCAGAACTATTTTGTCACGAAGACGTCCTCTCCTTGCCACTGATTGCAAGTCTCTGTATGATCATCTAGTAAGTCCCTCGTCACCCACAGCCATAGATGACAGACGCACTAGTATAGATGTGGTAATCATAAGAGAGTCACTAAAGGATCTACAGGGTATAATCAGATGGCTGCCAACTGATAGAATGATTGCCGATGGGTTGACAAAAGATAAGCTGGATCCTGCAGATTTGCTTCGCAGTTGCGTCCGTAGTGGAGTATATCAAATTGCTCCCGAAACCACCGTACTTGCACGCCAAGCAGCCGAGCGAGAGTTGCGAAAAGAGCGCCAGAAGAACAACCAGGGTTCTCAAAAAGTTGAAAGAAGCCAAAAGTGAGTTTTGTTTGTATAGCAGTTTTTGCCTGTGAAATACTTGGCCCACCATGGGCATGATTTCGAGAAATCAATTGTGGATAGATGCCATATTGTTTCCTTGACGGCAAAGATCACTGTGCTTCCAGTTTTCATGTCACACTTTGCATGACGTCATGTATAGTTTAGAACAGATTCAGGTGAGAACATCTGATCACAAAGTTTTTCCTGCATGTTTGTTTTGCGACAGTTGCTGCCTAATCCATAATATTTCCTGAGAGCGTCAGCATCTTAAGAAGTTTCTGCGATCCAATAGCCACCTTTTTCTCAACCTTACGACTTTGAATATCAGAGTTGTTTTGGTGCGGTAGTGTTATCATCATCTGTGCCAGATGTCGTGGTCAAAGCAAGACACTGAAGCCTTTCGTCAGATTGTGTCCAAGGCCAAGGAATGTGGAGTTCTACAGGATCTGTTTGAGGGTCAGCACATGTTTCCAACAGATTCACCTACCAGCCAATTTTCTTTGGTTAGCAGTGCTGGTGAGTCTATGACAGATGCAGCCAAAAGGCGTCCTTCTGTGGAAATTGATGATCTTCAGCGACCCCATGTTCCCAAGGGTTCGGATAGCATGTGTACTGGATATGGCAATTGCAAAAGCAAGACCAGTGTGAAGTTTTCATCCACCCACGACTGTCTTGACAGTGATGACAAGATCAAACTGCCTTCAGGAGTGAGCAATTTTGAGACTTGGAGTAAAACCAGAATTGACTTTGGGAAATACGAGGGTCAGAAAATGAGTTACTTGCACCTGGCTCGAAGCCAGTCTCCGGAGTGCATCAAGTACAAGAATTGGTGTATCCAGCGCAATCGATCAGCAGATGGCCTTCTCAAAGACCTTTCCAATTTTCTGGTGGAATATCAGCGAATTGAGAATCAGAAGTATGGTTCAGCCAAGTCAGATGGACCGTTCATTCCTGGCACCGATCGCCTTCGAGTTTTGCTGGACTGATGAAAGTCATTTTTACAGTTTTGCACATATCTGCTGAATACCTGGCTGTCCTTTTGATTTCCATTGGCGAAGTTTCCTGGAAAATACAAAACTTTAAAGATTATAACCAGTGTTGAAAGCAGAGCCATGAGTGCATACTCCAGCAAGGTAACAGATGCATGACCGATAGGGAACCTACGCTCAAGCGGCAAAAGGTGCCCGTGCTCTTGCCCTGGGAGGGCGAATGGTTTTGAGATATATATACATATGTATATATATATATATATACATATATATATATATATATATTGAAGATGCGACAGACACGGGGCGGTCGCCCCGTCCTAGATCATCTGCATCTTTGACCATGACATGATTCCTTGGAGGATCATCCCGCTTAGTAGCTGTTTGAGAACCCTGGTTAATAATGGTTGATACATGTTAGCTAGTGCCTAGTGCTGGTTCATCTATGTTTATCCCATGTATAACTGGGTGAACTAATTCCACTTACCTGTTCCACCCCCCAATGGCCTCATCCCTTGGGCTGCTGGGCCCCAGGTCTACAGGCCCATAACACCTTGTTGGGGTTGAGCAGCTGCGTGCAACAACAACTCTGGTCGGCACATCATGGATGCCCTGGAGCTCAACAGAAGGCTGGAAGAAACATGAACAACACATACAAAAAACCATGCCAGAACTACTATATGCAGTTGGTTGCTGTACCTATTTCTCGTTTCCAGGGTGACCTGACAGCGATGGAGAGAGAGAAAGAGAGAGAGAGAGAGAGAGAGCGCTGGAAATTGATAGTGGATGCCACACCACAAACAAATAAATCATACCAAGCTGATATATTATATTTATTAAATCGTCAATTTTATGGATTTATGACCGTGCGTCGATAGTTACAGGATGTTACAGGCATTCTAAAGATGATATGTGTGTTGGATGTTTGTTTGACCTCTAGGCTGTCCTCAGCATGTTTGCTTGGGATTCATTGCGTAAGTCGTTTGGAGAGTTTTGGATGTGAATTCATCATGTTCTTATTGATGTGAATGTTTGGGTAGTTTTGGATCTTGTGGATTATTTTCCCAAACAGCTATGTTCTCATAGTTGTTTGAGAAACAGATCTGTAACAAAGCGGAGATGTGTTTTCTGACGACAAAGCTATGGCCAAATGGATCCCGAAGGGGCTGATTTCAAAAGATGTAGCTCTTCAATCCAAATGTTTTCCTGGAATCGGAAGTATCGAAAGCCGATCAAACAACCAAGAAAAATGCATTAGTTCATAGTGTAGTTCAGTTTTGAGACAGGTTGAAACATATTCACCCCCTCCAGGTATCCAGATCATCACTTTCAATCTATTTGATGTTGTCTCATCCCTCCAAACCTGCCAACCTGAGGACCTGCTGAAAAAGGCCATGACCAAGCTACCAGTGGAGATGACAAGATTGACAAGGCTTCGATGACTGTGGCTCCACACTCTTCATACACGTATTTATCCACCTCCCCCTCCAAAAATATATATACGACCATTATATATATATAAGATAATTACATACAATTACCACACCATAGATTTACTATGGCTTGCATTCGTTTTCTATACTAGACTAGACTCGACTATACTACACTATACTATGCTACAATCACTTTTTTGTGTTCATCCGATTTTTGGTACTCCCCTGTTGGGCTGCCGTTGCCCAGGGAGCACCAGACCCTGTCGGAGCACCCCACGCACCCCACGCGTTGGCTTCCGCCGCGCCCCAGCAGTGCCACACTGCAGCGCAGCGCGAGCGCGCAGCAGATGCTGAAGCCGGGAATGCCACGGGGGGAATCCTGGGGGAACTGGGGAAAAATCGGGGTAGAATGCCGGTATATCCAAGAAATTGAACATGCTGGAACCTTTTTTTGCATTTGTTCCAGCCAAAATGGGTTGATATCATCAACAATCATAGGAGATGATGTGGATGCTGGGTGGGTTCTGATTTTTGTTGCTTCGATCTGGTTTCAATTCCCATGCTTGGACAAAGCATTGACAAAACCATATACGCCATGACAAAACCATGGCCAAAAGTTGGGTTACATAACTTACATAAGCATATGGAGGTTTCCTGAAATGGGGGTTTTCCATGATATAAACCAACCAGCTATTGGAGAAACCCCATGAACAATGGAAATCGCCATATTGAGTGGTAGTCTACCATTTTTTGAAGGGGTTGCTGGGCCGCAGGGAACTGGTGCGACCCGCAAGTGCTGGGGCCCTTGGATTGCGCAGGACAGTGAGGGGCCAGCTGTGTGGAATGGACAGTTTCTTTCCCCTAGTACTAAACAGCATTTACCCTCTAGACTAATATGTATAGCTATAGAACATCATCATTTTTATAGCTGAAATCGGGCATGTCGTTCCGTATTCCTTATTATATACTGGGACTCAAGGAGCTACCAAAAGTTACCCAACCACATGAATCCGCATGATAGATTACTTTGTTCCTACCTTTCATTTCTTTTAATCATAGTCCTCCATTCCTCCCTATTTATTAAGTTATTACGGTGCCTGGCACAGGACTTGGGGCTCTCAATCCCTGCCAACTCTAGACCGCCCAAAGCCCATCGCTGCGGATCGGAAAGATATGCTGCGCTCAATCAACAGCAGGTGCCGTGGGGAACACGGGAGCTCAGTGCGCCAAAGTCAAGTCGAGGACCAGTGAAACTGATACGATGGTGATATGGTTCAAGGCATTGAGGTAGCAATCGGGCCCGTATTGTGGAATGTGAACACAACAATGTAAGCTGATATACTGATATACGCGGACGATACATTTGATTGGTGGTTTCAAACTTCAAATGCAATATGTTTTGGAGATGATCGCATTGGACATGCCTTCGTCGGAGCAAGAACCCTTTCGCCAGGCCAACCAGTGCAGGATCCAGCGGCGCTCTGCGCACGCAACGTACGCAGAGGCCACAGTGGTTCAAAAACTGCCACGAGTCGAAAGATGCCGGAAAAAAAAAGTTGGACCTGTCCAATGCCAATATTTATACGGTACATATTAGAATACTTATATAACTTATAACTTATAACTTATTAATTACATTCCTATCTTTTGCCCACTGCAGTATCACAGCATCTCTAATTCCTATCTACTGCCATTGAAGCGCACTTTTGTTGGAGATGGCCATGGCATGTCCATCGACCAAAACGGTGATTTGCTGGTTAGGGTTGGTGATTTGGAATGGCAGCAATCCCCTGTTCAGGGATATTTATCTTGATTTACCACGTACCCTTTGGTAAACTAACAGAACATAGCTATTGAAAATGGCCATTTATAGTGGATTTACCCATTAGAAATGGTGATTTTCCATAGTTACGTTAGTTTACCAGTGGGTATTGTATATAATTGCCATAAAGATGCAAGAAGCACCGACTTAGAAACACAACAAATTCGAACAGAAGCCTACAAGACCCCGAAAAGAAGAGTGCATGGCACTATCTGGGCCCGTGTTTGTTTCAGTGTTGTTTGTCCTTTTTCATAGTTTTTTTATTGGTGTTATTTTGAATGTAATGTGTTCTTCATATAAGATATAAGTAATGGTACTATTCATCATTTGAGACACACTAGGGTGTCAATTTTCAAATTCTTACAAGTCCTTAGCAACAATAATACATTACAATTTGTACAAGGAAGTCGTGTAAAACATACACCAAGCTGGAATCTATCCACCCTGGACCAATGCTAGACAAGAGCATTGTCAAAGGATTATAATAGGTATGTATCCAGCTGGTGATGATTGATGCTTTATCACCAAGCTTGATGGCTCACTACTTGGAGACATTGTTGTACTGCACACACCCACATATGCATATATAGAGGTGATGAGGTGCACAATGATTAAACATAAATATGATATGTTGCAATTGCAAAGGTTATATCAAGGGTCAAGACCTCAAAGACTACTAGGCTTTTATCCCAAATTATTCACCATAAAAAGAAACTGCATGGTATTTTTTAGAAAACACATCCAAAAGATTTCAATTTAATATAAATACAATGTGAGCATTGATTAATCCGGTGAGTATTACATCATCATAGGGTGACAGTGACCATGGAAGCCCTAGCAGCAAGTCACTCTTCTCATGTAGGAACAATGCAAACCATTTTTTGTCCAATCCTTTTGTGCACATGAAAGATGTAAGATTGCCTATACACAACGATGGAACGACATAGCAAGTTCAATCTCACATGTATGCAGCAGTGATCACCTTCAACTCAAAAATATAACAACCATTCCAGCAAGGAAGCCATGGGATTAATCCTTATATAGTTTCCTACTCTTGGAGTCACCCTCATAAATTGAAATTCCCATTGCCTCATGCATCTTGATCCGGAAATTTAACAGTGCAAGCTTACAGTAAACTATGAAATCATGGCAAACGCAAGTACTACAAGCAAAGAGCGCACGTAGATGTCACACATTACCATACTTTGATGTACTTTTATAGTTACCCTTGCAGAATGGTGAGTTGCAAGGTTATTATTGATTTTCATTCCAGGAAAATAGCTTAAAGTCAATGTGGGAAGGAATATTGAACTGCACATGTCAAATGTACTAGCTAACATGTTGTTTAGCTTAAATGGACGTAGCTTATGGCTGTGCAAGCAAAAACCAAAAATATTTCTGAACAGATTTACCTACTTACAACCATGGCAAGAAGCAAATCTACAATGTTAAGTAACACAGGTTTAGAGCAAAGCTCATGCTAAAACCTTTTTCCCAATTAAAAAACAACATGACCATTTATGTGTTTTGTAAGGATATTATCACATTAACATATTATAGCAAAGGTGGCCCTAGTAAATATATGCATATATATATATATATACATATGATATAACTATTTTCCTAAGCTTTGTTTGTAAATAATCAACAGGATCATTCTACATGGTCATGCAGCCACATGTTATCACATGTTATTTGTAACATTGAAAACATGTAGCAGTGTTGTGTTGTTGGCTATATTTCAAGTTATATTGACGATAGCCAATGTTTAGAGTTGCCATCTGACTAAACACACTAATCACCTTAGTAGGAGTCCATAGCCATACCAATGATGAAGGCACATTATGATAAAGCAGTTTGCTCCTCACAAAAGACTATAGATGGTTACTCAAGATTACTTATGCAGGGCATATAGTGGTCCATATTTCATCATTTTCAATAATATGATATATTCTCTGCATAATAATAATATTCTCCATTTTTTTAGTTTTGTCACATTCTGGGATATCATACACTGACTAGAGACTGGCACAGCCTGTCCATATCCAGGAATTGAGGTGATGTACAGTGTCATACATTTTGTCAGTGAGTCAATCCTTATCATGCATCTTAAAAGATATTAAACACATAATGAAACAGTCGGACCCAAGATGATGGATTCTAGTCAGTACCTTGTTAAAGAAGATGAGTTTGCAGAAATGCTATTTTTTGTATTGACGGAGATCTTGCGGGATGTAAGTGAGTGTCACTCCTATACTCAAATTAGAATATCCTAATTTATGATTGCGCGTTGGCATTGTCAATTATCAGAGTGGCACTACATAGACGGTCCGGCAGAAGGACCGGACAGCCATATGTAGATGGAGGCACGTTGATAAACGCCCTTGGCGTTTTGTTGCATTTCGGCTAAATTTCCACTACATCATGTGTTCGGGGGTTGGGTTGGGGGGGTGGGGTGAAACATGGGGAGGGTGGGGTTGTGGGGGGATGGGGGGGTATAACGTTCTTGTCGTGTGCGTGCTGATATATATATATATATCTATGCATGTATGTATTTGTATAGATATATGTATTTGTTTTTCAACTCTAAGATGCTCTTGATGTTGCACTTTCAACATGTTCTTGGAACTTCAAAGGGGTTCTTGATGCTACGCTTTCAACATGTTCTCAGAACTTCTAAGACGCTCTTGATGCTACACTTTCAACATGTTCTTGGAACTTCTAAGACGCTCTTGGTGCTACGCTTGCAACATGTTCTTAGAACTTCTAAGCCGCTCTTGGTGCTTCGCTTGCAACATGTTTTTGGAACTCCTAAGCCGGTCTTGATGCTACGCTTTCAACATGTTCTTGGAACTTCTAAGCCGCTCTTGGTGCTTCGCTTGCAACATGTTCTTGGAACTCCTAAGCCGGTCTTGATGCTACGCTTTCAACATGTTCTTGGAACTTCTAAGACGCTCTTGATGCTACGCTTTCAACATGTTCTTGGAACTTCTAAGACGCTCTTGCTGCTACGCTTGCAACATGTTCTTGGAACTTCTAAGCCGCTCTTGGTGCTTCGCTTGCAACATGTTCTTGGAACTCCTAAGCCGGTCTTGATGCTACGCTTTCAACATGTTCTTGGAGCTTCTAACACGCTTGTCATGCTACGTTGACATCACGTCTCTTCAGTCAGTCTCTTCACGTCAATAGACAGACCTGGAGGTGGCATTCCGGAAAAACTAATGTCGTATGTTGATGTATGTTGGGGTTTCGTGTGGCGAAACAATTTGGGCAACCATGCCAACTTGACGATCATGTGGCTTGGAACGAGCCGGGCGAGCAAATGAAAAACTACTTTTGAACGAAATGGAGGCTGGGAGAGCCAAGAACAAACAAACTTGCAAATACCAAACGAACATGTGTGTGCTAAAACCACAGCAAAACCCTACTGTCATTTTCACACAAAGCACATTTTTTTGTAAGGGTTGCAAAATTTGAACATGGAGAAATGCCTAAATCAACAAATAACCCAGGGGCAATTATCCGCGTGTGACCATGTAGATGCCTCTGGAGTACCGGGGCTGCTTTTCAAACTCGGCCAAAAAAAAACTCCAGACTCCTGGAAACCAGTTCCAAACTCAAGCCTCCATTTTACTCTCACCTCTTTCTTGATGGAGCTCAGGCGCTCGAATTTTGACATGAATAACCGGCACGTTCAACCAAATAGATTCTTGAATGTGGATTTCCTAAGACGGGCGTCTATGATTATATAAAATCACCACCCTTTCCGGGGGGGCTAAACAGAGGGGGCCTAACCAAAATATAAGAGATTGCAAATAGAATGCGCTTTGAAAAATAATGTCTGTTTTTTTTTTCAACGTCGACGTCCCCCTCCTAGAACGTAGGCCTAAAATGTCGCTTACATTTAACGTAGGTCCCCCGGTCCCCCCATCTTATTTGAATAATCGTTGTCCTTCCAGTTCATACTGAATATCCCTATGTTAAAATATGGGGCTGTGAAAAAAACTGGGGCCCCCATAACGTCGCTTTCTTTAAAAGATTTTAATAGAAATCCTAGCCGCACCGGGCCCAAGACTAGCAATGACAGGCCTTCCAGCGCTGGTTCTTGGGGCACAGCATCTCGCCCTCAAAGCGCTGCGAAGAGCGCAGCCAAGAGCAGCACGAAGAGCTGGAGGAGGGGGTGGATGCAATGAGGCCCTCCCATTCTGTGGGTACAAAAGGAGATAAACAATGGCCCATGTTTTCACATTGTGAAGAACCTATGTGGGCCGTCCCCTCACCCACTCGATAATGGAGGTGTTGACAGCTCAGACTAGTCCAACTATACCGACATCCATGTCATCAAATGGGTATCTCTGAAAAAAACGTATCCCATTCTATGTTCCCCACAATGATTTGAATGACCATTTCGATTCATTTTTGGGAGGTAGAAAGGCCGCGTTGTCCGACGTCCGACATATCCAATAGATCCCAATATAATTTTGTTAGTTATAGACAGTATACCGTTATACAGCATGCAGCATACATGTTTATATATCCCACCATATCCCATTAGATCCCATCAAATAAAAGTAACTATATTTACAGATATATCAAGTTATATCAAGTTATATCCAATTATACCAAACTATATCAAGTTATATCAAGTTATATCAAGTTCTAATTATCCTATTATTAAATCCCAGTAGATCCCATTAGATTCCTGTTGAAATCTCATGATATCCAGGAAGATCGGCACCGCCCCGGCGGTGCCGGATCTGGCCGCAAGCCACCACTTCGCCGGGAGACGCCGTTGCGTCGTCTGCGCCGGGGCGGGGGGGAAGTTCGGATCATGCGAAAGTGGTGATTGAAGGAAGACAAATGAGGGATTTTGTGGGATTTGTAGCTGATTTATATTGATTTATCATGTTTTAAGTTGGGTTATAATTTCAATCACTAGGGTTTATGTTAATCATAGCAGTAACAGTATGGTATAGCCAATGGGGATTCATCAAATGTTGGGGCACCCTATAGATCCTATAGACAAAGCGGTATACGAGCTCGAGTATGCCGAAAGACTCACTTAGGAAGTAGCTGAAGGGATATTTCCAGTACGGTTTACTGGAGAGCAGGGTCATGTTTTCAAGACGGGGACCGAAAGCAGATGAACTAGATCCGAAGCTATAGGCGAATTACGTTGCCTTCAGCTGAGGAGTGGTGCACCGAAAAGATCATGGAACTGTTCGATCATCCAACTGATGGATTGCTGATGCGTTTAGTACTGATCATCCATCATGCCTGTTTCTGGAATGGCTTGAACGCACCTTACCACCAGTCAACATCAGTAAACGATTTAGTAGTAGTTGGATGATTAAAGGTCATAGGAGGCGTAACATGGACGCAACCCCATTATTGAAAGATTTATTTAGAATCCCAAATAGTCAACTGGGTTTATAAGACTGGGTTTACCACACATTTGTACATTCCCCCACTTGTATACTATCCAATTGTTTAGCAACCCACAAGAAGATTCAAGTTATCAAAATCCACAATCTTACCAAACTTAGAAACCAACAATTTACTAGCCCTATTAAACCCTACTAATTCTACCCACAAATAGGTGAGGTTAGTAATTCAAAAGCGCCCCAAGGACCAGTCACCCGCTCCCCGCAGGAGTTCAAATGCTTGGCAGCCCGCATCACCCCAGCGCAGTAGCTTGGCACATTTGGCACCAGGGATGATGACATGTTGGGATAGTATGTTTATGTGCATAAACATATTCGGCATATAAATATACCTATACTGTACTCTGTAGTACATATATGTATATATATACATTGTACATGTATATTACATTTTTTTTAATATCATACTGTATTGCACCATTTTTTTATATTTTAACATAATTTTTAACATTTTTAACATACAATATTTATGACATTGTAGCATGTTATATTGTTAGATGTTTTTTGTTATGCTATAGTTTGCTCCCTTATATTTTATATACTTGTTTGATCGCATAGTCCATATTATTGTTTAAAACATGGTGAAAATTATTAAACAATATATATATATATATTACTAATTATAAAGACATTTTTGTTTACAAACGTATACGCAGTGCATATCTGAATATATATATATATGTGTGTGTGCGCGCCCGTGTTTATAGTTGCGTGTGCACGTATATGTGTGTAATCATCCGCCTTTGGTTTTGCAACATATAAGTGTGTGTGTGTGTGCACATGTGTTTGTATGTGTGCAATTATGTATGTAGGGCAAAAAATTAGCTATGACACCCTCATTTGCCATGGTCGACCCTTCATTTCATGGGCAACATCCTGCAAATTAGCAGATGTTCATGAGTTGTGTGTGGAATAGTTGTTTGTTTCATGTTGTTCCATCCCACGTGGGAGTTTGATTCTTCATGACTCAAATTTCAAAGCATTGAAACCACCAATTGGCATGCATATGTTTTTGTTTAAACAACCCATACAGTTGATGATTTGGACCAACAACATTAGATTAATCTGGCTAGCGACCATGACTGTCACCTGATTGACTGCAACAAGACTAGCGAGAGAAGCTGCCAACCATCTTGGGTCAGACTTGATTGTTGGGAACACCCTTTGCTGGTCATTATTCATTACGCACGCCTCACGCCATCGTTTGGGGAAGTCATTTCAACATAGATCATTTTTGATTAATGACATGCTATTTGATCATCTCTTAGTTTCTGTGTTTGGCAAAAAGAACCCACTGTTCGCCACATACCAAAGTGCGTAGGACCCAATGTCCTTCACATGGAGCGAAAACTAATCAGCTGTGTGATTTGCAAAGTTGTTGCTTGCCCAGCCCCACCCAGTATGATGTAGCAGAATCTTAAGTTTCCTAGGCCAAGGTGGCTTATCAACAGCAAAGAACTTTGCTGGTTGATGTTTCCTATCCGGCGATTTTCCATCGTTTGATGATGCAATTCCGACCTTTGTTGCTTCAATTCCATTTGCGTTGCTTCATTTTATGTCCAAATGATCTGATTCATGGCTTAAAGGTGGATGGCTCAAGCCACGAATACACCTGCCCCCTTGGATCTTCGGCAGGTATGGCTTCGCGGCATCAGGCGCCATCATGCTGTAAGCACTATTTGAAGGCGCGCGCCTTTGGCACAAGCCGCAGCTAGTGCCGCAGGTGCTTACTGGCACAAGCGACTGGTGATCAGCATGGCACTAGTGTGGATGCATCGATGTCAGAAAACATCCACCTTGTTGGAAGACCAGGAGTTTTTCTTGGTTTTTAGAGCCCAATCCACCACACACCAAATTTTTGCAATGTGGTTTTGTGAGCCCCACGATGATTGTTCTCTTACTCTTAGTTTCATCACCTTACTCTCCCCAGTATCTGGACCACTTTCAGACAAACCTTTTTGCTGTCAATCACCGTAGGCCTGTGAAAAGTACGGCACGATGCCAGACATGCTAGACTTCAACACAGGAAACCGGGGGGCCGGCTGTTCCGGCCGCTGGTCTTTGTTGGATCGTCCAAAAACAGAAAAATTGGGGAAAGTGTATGTCGCCATCAAAATTTGGGGCAATTACCATCAATTACCTAATTTTCAGGCACAGCATGGCACATCCACGAATGAAGAGGAAGCAATGCAAATAATTCAATTTTCCAATTGAATTCTTTTCTCGACAAGGTTGTGCCTCTTGCAAAGTGATCCTTTTGCCAGTTGTAGATCCCCCTGGTTCTGAGAAGATGCGGCCTCTCTAAAAATGATTGAAAACGAGGAGTTGGGAGTCGGGAGATGTTTTTCCAATTTCACGTGGCAAGTTTCCAGCAAAGATGCGAAGGTTAGGAGAGAGAACCTTTGATAGTGGGCATGTTGTTCCCAAGAATTATGTGACTCACATGAAAGTTTTCGAACACAAGATCTTTTTCTACGCGTCAAGATATGTCAAGACTCGACCACTTGGATCCATTTGGGCTTTGCTTTCCGGAAGTTCGTCGACGGATCTAGATGTTCAGCCAGCGGGTTGGAGGACTCTCAGATAAGTTCCATGCACCAAGAAGATATCTTTGTGATGCCAATCTCCTGGCAGTTGCAGGACGGGGCTGCAGGAAATGTGGAATCTGATGGTGAGACATCCCCCCAATAATTTGAAAGGCCCAATCGGCCAAAAGGTCGTGGTGTAACGGGAAGGAAAGGAAACAACTTAAACGATCTTAAACGCAACAAACCATTCGTCGAAGCTTCGCAGCATTTCGCAGCCGTGAGGCATGCTGCCGGCCAGAGACCATGTGGAGGAAGTCAATTTGCAAGAGAATTCAAACCTCACTGATGTGAGCTTAGTGCGCCTACCTCAGATCTACAGAGCCAGCATAGCAAACTTGATGTTGTGGCTTTTAAGATCACCTAGTTTTTTTTTTCAGCAGAGGGCTCCCAACTCAGTTGGCGGGATTTAGCCATCATGCAATCAGAATGTGTATATATATATATATATAATTATATTTATATATATAATTATATTTATATATATAATTATATATATATATATAATTATATATATATATATTTTTTTGGGGGTTTCAATATTTTATTTATATATCATTATATATCTATATATCTTTATATATATATCTTTATATATATATCGATATTTATCTATATCTATATATAGATATATATAGATATAATTAAGAGCTGCATTCTGTGCTTCTGAAAGGCCATTTTTGGAGCAATTCATCAAGGCCCGGCAAATCAGCCCATTTGTGCGGCTTGGGGAAACAGTCCTGGCCATAGATCTTGGGGACCTTTTTGGAGCCAGGGATTGTTGCTGTGGATCTGCGGATGCAGGAAATCCTGCACCATCTTGGATGGTTGAAACCCTGTAAACAATGAAATAAACCACCTATCAACTGGTGCGGGGTGTCTTCCATCCACAGTATGTCAATGATTAATATCATTGATATAATACGGTATAAAATATCTCTATTAAAAGGGCTGCCAAGGAGCCCATGCTACCTCTCAAGATCAACGGTAGCATGACCAAGTGGGAGAACAGACGGGGAAGACACCTTTGAGGCCCTCCTTGGAGAACTATAAGAAAATGATGAATACACAATGTACCCTCTGGTAAACATACAAAAAGCTATTGAGAATGGCCATTTATAGTGGATTTGCCCGTTAAAAATTGTGATTTTCCATAGTTATGTTAAATTACCAGAGGGTATATGAGGGTCGATCTAAAGGTCCTTGTAAAGAGTTTTAATTGCGAAGACCGTTCGTGTTATGTTGGGAACCATCGCAAAAGTTGTGTACTTCGACTTCGCGAAGTTGTTGTTGTTTTTTCGCGAGAATAACGCGAAAGTTGGATACTATGAATCATATATGATAATGAATGGAGAGAGAGAAAGAGAGAGAGAGAGAGATGCGTAGGTCTCATATTAGCATGCTTATATGCATGTCATTGGATTTGTAATCATGGAATTACATAGTAGATCATGTGCCATTGCCATGATGATGATGATGATGATGATGATGATGTTTGCTCCACACACATCCCCGTGAGTTGCTGATCAGATTGGTCGTTTGGCGGATGGTTTGAAGAAGCTGAATCTGAAGTACTGCAAGGCCCGGTGGATGAACATGACAGATATGACAGCTCCTGGGGTGAAATGGTAGGGCACAGTTTCTTTTGCACCTACAATAGGGGCAAAAAGATGCCCAACACACAGCATGTGATCAATAAATACTGCGAGCAACGCGTCTTTTTTTGTCCTCCGTTTTGGCTCTGAGAAATTCACCATGGTTCGGCAAGAAAAATCGCGCGGTGAACGGTTGACAACGATCCATTGGTTGACAGGGTTGTGTTCAATTGGGGTGTATCCCTTTAACAGCAAAGGTGACATACCCGCGTACTTTTTGTCTTGCAACCCCTTATCGAATCAATCAACTCCGGGCTATGAATCCGTGGTTGAAATCATACAAGAATGTCTCACTTGAAGCTGCCATGGAAAAAATGTATTTGCCAAAGATGACGGCTTTTGAATGGCACTTCGCATATTTATTACATTTTATACACAGTATATCATATACCATAGGACGTATGTGATCATATATCTTGAGTTATGTTTGGTGCTTTTGAAAGTGAACTTGTAGCAAATACATGAATTGTATATATGAGGCAAACATTGCTGCTCTTTGATGCAATAAGAGATTGGAGAGGGCGATGGAGAGAGAAATGAGAAATATCCATTCAAAAAATCATCAGGAAACGGATTGTTCCACTAGAGGATTGTCCATGAAATATCATTGTCAGGTTAGATTTCCTCGGCAGAACACATATCGTTAAAAACCATTGAATCCGATTCTGGTTGGATTCTCCAGTGCAGTCCCCAATTGAAATCATTTGAATCATCCTGGTTTTTGATATGCTACAAATCTTATGAAATACTCCCATGATAATCCCACTCAAAACCATTATAATCCCATACTAAGCCTATTTGCTTACTATAAGATGTCCATGAAATCATGAAATCCATGTGATTTGATCCCTCCAAGGGATGCCGGGTTCGTCCAGGGGCTGGCCTGGTTGGGGCAAGAGACCCTGCTACGGCTGGTGAGCAGCGCCAAGAATCTCAGGCGCGGAATGTGGTGATTTTTCGATGAAGGGATTCGGGGACTTGTCATGCTACAATAAGCCACAGGATCCATGGTGCTGGTATAATATACTGTATATGTATATATGCTAACATGGTAAATGTTACCATATATAGCAGCACCATGGATCCTATGGGTAAGCATCCAGAACGAAGGGAGTCCTGATTCCAGCGTTTTTGAATGAGAAAGAAATGCCCACGTATAGTGTAAGACGAGGTGATTGGACCAAAACCAGGCACGCTAAAGTTTGATGTTTAAATCTTTTGCATGACTAACATGTGTGGCCTAAGGTCTGATTTTGTTGATGGGTTTCGGCCCGGCCGAGGGAACTCGACCTGTCTGGGGTGCAGATTGGAATGCGGGGATCCTTACAGTTTTTGCACTGTATTGCATTGTGATACCACCGAAAGTGATCGAACATGGATAGCTTAGCCGCTTAGCCAATGCCAATGATTCGACAAAGACAATGGGTCCTAAACTTGTGCATGATCTCTTGTTTTATGTGCGTGTTGACCTACAACAATGCAATGTCGTGCGAATACCGTCAAAATACCGTTTGCATTGAGTCAACAACGTGATTCTCATGCAGGATTGACTCAGCAACTAATTAGATTTGCGAGGTAGGGCCAGGTGGGGCGTTCCGAAACCATAAGTGGGACCCATGACCCATGGGCTTCTCGTCCTTTTTTTTGAATTTTCATTCGATCATTTGTTTTAGCAGGAAATCCCGGAGCCTTTTCGGTGGCTGAGGCGTGCGCAGTCGCGCTTGTGCGAGGCCGTTGGGGATCACCCACACCTTCTGCCTCCTGTCAGATGTGGGGTAGGTTGCAAGGTAACTTTAGCAAGTAAGTATGTTTTAGATTGCTTTAGTATGTTTTAGATTGTTTTTGTATAATTATAGATGTTACGCCATGTTACACGATTTAATGACCCCTCCAATTTATTACTGTTTATATCTGTTTATTAAGAGGGGGAGGTACCAACATTGATATATTATATAATCCTAATGTATCATATATATATGGATATTATATGGTACTATCTCAGTGCTGTTACAACAGCCACGGAAATCCAACATGCAAATTTTCTTTGCATTCGCCTCTAGCACAGCTCTGTTTAGAGTCATATTCGAACTCACAGTTGAATGCTCAATTCATGTAGGTAGAACTATAAATACATTATTAAATCTGGATCATTGAGGTATGTCAGGGTATAAGCAGCCAAGCAATTCCTACAGTCTGACTTACCCCGGTGTCACACTTGGCCCTCCAAGCTCTTCGCCTGATTCATGTGGGAAACCGGGAAACCCAATAATAAACCTGCCATTGGGGGATGGTTTGTACATGGCATAGAGTGAATCCTACATGACCCATCTGGGTTTGATTGAAAATTAGCAAGCTTTTTTTTCCGCGTTGGTTGAGAAAAATCCTTATGGTTTTGTGGGTCCATTTCTGCCCCATTGTTGCCCCATACCCACATGGATTTGGAGTATGGAGTCGATTTTGTCTATGTTTGACTGAAAATTCGCTACCCCCAACAAAAATCGTAGGCTTAACCAACATGTTCACCATTTTAATATCAAAATGGCCCATCATTTTAGACCCAAAAACATACGTCACATCCGTAAATCCTGAGGTCCACCGGCCTTAGTCGAGTGGGTTTGGGTGGCCATTGCCTGACCAAAGTGTGCCTCCACGCGCTACTGGGCCAGGGGCTCAGAAGGGGGCCAAGAGCTGGGGTCAATGGAGCTGAACTCGCCCCCTAAATTCACTTGCACCAGGGGTATTAAATCCATGTGCCCAAACGAAGGATATGACCAGAATTTCACCTCCATGACCTACAGCAATGCAATTTAATGTCACCTGTTGTTAAAAACCGTTTTTCCCAAAACACGTGATTCATCGTGATTCATCGTGATTATGATATTCCCACAATACGTTTCACATGTATTTTCAGGTGCGTTTATACGGATGTATGTATGCGTAAAGCACTCCCTGAAACGATACATAGGTGTCAAACCTGATGTTTTGACTTGAAAGATCATGCGCACGCTAAACAAAAACATGTGAGTGTGTTTGTTTCTGGGTTGAAGCACACATTTGTTACCTTCAAGACTACCAGAACATCAATAAATTTACGTTAATTGAAGGGATAGCCTCTGGCATTGAGATTTTGAACCGCCATCAAACTGTTGCAGTCGAGCCATCAGGAAGTGGAACCAACAAGAAACTGAATTTAAGCTGGAATGTCTTCAACAAGCAGGACAGGCGGGTGACAGGAATGATCTCTGATGGCCAGAAACACCGTGCTTGCTCGGGCAGGGCTTACGATTGAACATCTCAACACAGACCCCTTAAACATATATAATATATGCTTAAAGGATCTTGAAAACTATGAACACGGTTTCTGAACACGTACTGAATAGTATGTTGTGTGATCCTCGCACGAGGCACTGGAATGCTTTGAAGTGCGCATACTTCTGGCACACACTGCGCATGTCACATGTCTTTTGAGCATGACACAATCTGAACATCTTTGACAATTTAGCCCTTATGGATCTTAAAGGCCTACAGCATCCTACAGCTATTTCTCAGTGACATCTCCATGTTCTAACACCGCCAGGGGTGTGTAACCGGGGTATCGTCAGGAGTTTCAGCTCATTGGAGACTACGTGGCCGAAAATTTGGTCCTGGAGCATTTGTTGCTGGACCACTGCGCTGGATACATTGTCACTGGGCAATGTATTGCGCTGTCCACGCGAAGAGTCGTGCCCATGAATACAATAAATATATAAATACGATATTGAATGTTGTTGATGGAGGTTGATTGCTTATCAAGTTCTGCAACTTGTTCCATTCAACTTGTGTGAGAGCAAGGATGGTGGGTAAAGTCGGGTAGAGTCTGTGGGTGAAGCAACACAGCGTAAAACTCGTACAAAACCACTGTCAGCAAGGGTGGGCATGATATGGCGTTATGTAGTACTCAACCACTGTCAGTATTCAGTTCTAAAATGTTCATTTATGCCAATCACTGCCTGGAGGGATTTGAAGTCGGGCACACTCACAGGCGAGGGAAGATACGCCTATCTCCCATATGGTAGAGAAACTGGCCTTCAATCACTCTTTGAGGACCTCTAACATGCGTTGAGTTGTGAAGTTGAGCGTAGCGGCGTAGCGATGTCCTTTTTTGGGATCTACTGTATCCGGGATCAGCCCCAAATTGGGCTGTTCAACGATTATCCAATGATGCCAAGCCAACATGATTGACCGGCTGAGCCTGAAATTGCAGGAGCCTGAGCATCAATACCAACCGCATCGATTCACGAGCTGCGCTGGTCATTGAGGCTGGCGCTGCGGTTCGGTTCCAATGTCGACTGGGATATCCTGGGATCAAAATCCTCAATTGGTAAATGTGATGTTCGGATGGCACACGAACCAGCCAATCGGAAGTGTTTCCATGAAGTTCTGACTGTGAAGAAGTGAGCCTGTACTGTCTCAACAAATACGGTAAGTAATGCTAGGGGTGCAGTCTGCCAGATTGATGACGATGTCTCAGTCTTTTAGGCCGCACGAAGTTTGGAGTATGCATCAGTCATCATTAGACTCATTAGACAATGGCCTTTATATATAGAAGCTGCAGACGTATGCTTGACCCAGCCTGCCGAAGAAACACCACCACCATCATCACCATTACCACCGCCACCACCACCACCAACACCACCAGCACCACCACCAGCAAGAACAACCACAATCAGAACAAGAACAAGAACGACAAGGACAACAAGACTAGCAGCAATATCTATCATCAAAGTGTGGAAGGAAACATTTTTCCCAATTACAGTTCAACCGTTCAGTTTAAACCACCGTAGCTCCCGCTACAGCTGATGTACCCAGTGGTCGTCCCAGGATTCATTGGAAGGACATCCCTCTTTGCGGCGTCTCTATTTGAGAAATAACCCCTTGGGCATCATGGGCCTGTGACTTGGCTATGGGGCACAGCAGCAGTTTCCGGCAATTGATCATTGGGTCATATTGGGTCTATGTCCCCAGCCGTGAAGTTGCCAAGAAACTCGGGAGGTTTTTCTTGCAACAAAAAAACTGGAGGAAACCATGTCCTTTCCTATTTTTTCCTATCGCATTTAAGCGGCTTTTCTGTAGGCCTTTGTAGCTTTTCCCTTGCCGATAGCCATGGTGGTGTCCCACGAAGTCCCCGGGCACCGAGGCGGAGTATTCTCAGACTTCTTTGTGCCTCGGTTGGAGCTTTTCGGGGACATATTGTCCCCAAATGCTACTAGAGAGAGTGGTTAGGAGCTATGGAGGTATATATTATATATATATAATAGTATTGTATTATTATATTATGTTAAATGTATACATGCGTATAAATGATTATGTACACAGATTCCTACATATATACATATAGATTTCCTATTAGATTGCGAGCGAACAAGCTG